GCAGCTAACTCCCTAAGTGTTCTATTATTTGGTTCAGCCATTTTACTTGCAACCTCCTCGTTTACTGGATCACAGGTTGAATTTACCTCTTCAGAACTCGAGGAGCTATTTCTTTGCTTTGTTTCTTTCCTTAGTTGCCTTGCGACTTTCTCAATCTCAGGGATATATTGCAATTCTCCCGAATGAGAGGAACGAGTCATGCAACACTAAGGACAATAGAAACAATCACAAAGAAAAAAAAAATAAATAAATAAAAAATTCAAGAAACGATGTTCGTTCCCCGGCAACGGCGCCAAAATTTGGCAGGGTTGTCGAAGCCCTACAAATTTAATACTGGCTCACTCCACTAATTTGTAGTAGTGGCAAGACCAGGTCGAATCCCAAGAGAACTAATGAATTTCGTTTCTTTAATTAAAATAAAATGACTCGAAGTAGGGAAAATTGGGGGATTTGAGAAGAATAAATAAAATAAACAATAATTAATAACGAGTTCAGAGATGTTGAATTCTGATTCAAGGGGAAATGAATTTTAAAGATGTGACTCAGATCATCGGCTCTTAAAAATTAAATTAGATTTAAGTACTTAGCCAAAGACTAATTAGGATAGCCGTAACTAGTCTTTGTTCTCCCTAAATTAATTGATTCAAATTAAGCATTCAAACCAACAATTGTTATTGAATAAACTGGGGACGATAGCGTTCCATATTCACCCAATAACATCATTACACTTTGATGGAAAACAACTAAGCCTAAATCACAGATTGAGATAGCTACAACCTGCAACTTAGTCTTCCTGTCATTCGTGTACTAATCACATTAATAAAATTAATACAAGCTACTCGGTCTAATCGTTTATGACAATTACGGATCATAAACTCATAGATAGCAATAGAATAAAAAATAATAAACCAAGTTGTCAATTTAATTTACTATCAGTCTTCCTGTAAAATTAACTTTGAAAGAGCACGAAGTACATGAATCCAATAAATTAATTGAAGTAGAACCTCCCTAAATTCACAACTAAGACTTCAAATCTCTTGAATCAGATTAAGAAAATCTAGCTAGACATAGAGAAAACTATTCTAAAATATAAGAATTTAGAAGGAACAATCTGCCAAAAATACATCAGAATGACTCTCCTTTTATAGGGTTTCAAATCAACAATCTTCCCTAAAATTCAGGCTCTTACCGCATCAATAACCAATTCCTTCAACAAATTCATCTTCAAATTCAAAAGATGGTTAATTTCATCAATAATTGCGCAAAGAAGACCCGTCGAAGTCGCTTGATCCGAAGCTCTGTGCCTTCTCCGTCTCGCGTCTGCAACCTGTCGTAAACCAAACAAAACATTGAATATAATACTAATTATACGTACAGGAAAACAAAGGGAAGCAAAGTATGATTTACGGATTATTAACAAGTGGGACCCAAAGCAATATAATATTTTAATTTATCTAACTTGGCTTAATAAGCTTTCTTTATTATTTTATTCACTAATTAAGTTCTCTAAACCTAATATAACAAATTATACTAAAAATAATGGAATATAAAATATAAATAATAAAATTAACCTATAAAATCTTATTTAAATTAAGGTATAAAATATGCTCATCAAATAAACATTTGTAAACATAAATAATTATTTAGCTATTTCCTTGAGTGGGCCACTTTGGTGACTAACGCACTCGCCTTATGCTAATAATTTATTTATGTGAATAAACCTTAATTTATGTTGTAACATAAACATAAATGATTATTTAGCTATTACCATGAGTGGGCCGCTTTGGCGACTAACGCACTCGCCTTATGCTAATAACTCATTTATATAAGTAAACCTTGATTTATATATATGCTGTAAACATAAACATAAATGATTATTAGCTATTACCTTGAGTGGGCCGCTTTGGCGACTAACGCACTCGCTTTATGCTAATAATTCATTTATAAACATATATATAAACTAATAGTGGATATAACCTCCAACCATAATTGATCCCAAATGAGCCTATAATTTAAAGCAAATCCATAATACTTTAAATAATCCAAATAGACTCAAACACAAATTAAATGAGCCTAAAATTTAAAGCGAATCCATAATACTTTAAATAAACCCAAATAGACTCAATTTAATTGTCCAAACAAAATAAATCTTAATTTATATGTCGTTCTCTTATAACATATAATTCATGATTTGATAGAGACAAACCATATAACATATGAATCATATACCGTACGAACACAGTACAACTAACATATATGTTTCTTGATTCCATATGATTCAATTCCAAAAATATATACATTACAGTATATACATACATCTGATGCTTGATTCCAAGAAAATAGTATTCACATTCATAAGCAGAAACATGCGAATCCAATCATGCAAATCAATCTTATATATATACATATATAAGCAGTATAGTACGCATTCGTACTCTTATTTGTATATGTTGTTCATATAATAAAGGAACATATACAACATAACATATATAACATATGTGTTTCTTGATTCCAGTGATAACACAAGTTAATTAAACATGAATTTCGACAATTCACATACATAGAAACAGTACGAACACCTTGCATTAACACACATGTTGATTTGAACGAAGACAAAATAGGAGGATGTTAATTAAGCCATACGTATTGATTTCACATCAGTATAATGGGTCCATCATCAACGAAGACAAATCATACGGTAGTGACTATCTTCAACACCACAATTAATTAAACCTTATAATTAAAAATCCCCAAATATCATGAACCCTAATTTTAGTGATTAATCAATTTACAAGCAGGCTCTGATACCAAATGTTAAATAATCCTTTATGCGCTATAACTTAAATGCGGAAGCACAATTAACAATGATCGCATGTAAATCAAATCAATCAACTAAACAATGTTCATGATCATGGACTTTTAATTAAATGGAAAAGATAGAACTTACTTGGCTCCATTGAAGAAGTAATCTCTAAATTGAATGAATCAAGAATATAATGCTTCACCTCTCTGATCCGTATTCCTTAATCACCTCCTGATGATACGGAGACTAGAAAACTTAGAGATTTGAAACTTTTAAGATCCCTAGAGTTTTCCTGGGTATTTATAGATGTGATGAGAAACCCTCTTTCAAGAGGAATGGGGAACCTCCTTTAGAAATAGAAATCCCTTTAGGAATGTGACCTCCTTTCAGGAATAGAAATTTCTTTAGGATTGTGAGACCCATAACCTTATCCAGTATACATCTTTTAACCCTTATAAACTTAAATTTTAACAGAATGAGAGGGAGGGAATTTCACCCAGTAATTTCGCCTTTACACATCACTAATCATCAACGTGAGTACCTTATGGAATTACAACCTTTATTATATAAATCATTGTTAGGAAATAATTATTTCTAACAGCTAGGAGCATTGATTGCTATCATTTCCGTAGTCATGCCTTGGTAACTTCATAATACTAAGAATATGATGAAATTACAATGAATTTCTTGTATTAATTTTTGTTCTAGTTCGTCAATTATTGGGTTAAAGTTTTATCCTTTAGTTATGTCATTTTGCAATAATTGGTTGATGCAATTGATTAGTTAATTTGAGGGATTATAGAGTACACATCATGCTTAGCTTGCTAATTACATGCTTTGAGGGTATATCAATAAATAGTTTGGTTGTCTTACTTAGATTATTTATTTGGTTCGTAAACGGGGTATTTCGTAGGTTCTTTTGGGCTTAATGGGTTTTAATTGTTTGAATAAATATTTTGGCATGTTTTTTTAATAAATATCTAGGACTAAATTGTTTGAACCTCAACAATAGCAAATGTATAGGCTTATGAATGATTAAATATGTGACTGACTTTGGACGTCATACGGAGTAGTTATATTAATGAAAGAACGAAACTTTAATTTAATTGGTAAAGTTGAACATAGGTGCAAGATTCGTAATGGTAATTTAATTAAAACACGTACGTGACTAACTTTGGACGTCATACAGAGTAGTTATATGTTGTGTTTCGTGTTGATTATATTGTCTTCCCTGCTATTGTTTTCTACGTGTTGTTTCGTTTGGTTTAATTCATTTTTAATTTATTGATATTTGATTATGAGCACTTTAAATCATTGAGTTAATTAATTTCAAGTTTTTAAATTGCGTTGTATTAATTCTATGTGGTTAGTTTGATCTTTACTTTTACATATTAAACTACAACTGATTTGTAAATTGGCAAAGACATATTAAAATTGTCCACCAGCAATAGCAACTCTTGTCATAGGCCGCAGCAGCCGCCACCACTGCATGGAAACACTTTACGTGGAAAGAGCTTCTTCCTATTTTGGCTTCTTTCTTTATTATTTTGCCCTTGCCTTATCTAGGGTCGTAAAATAGACAAGAAAGTAGGAAATGAAAATTATCAGGGAAGATATAGTCACCAACGTACGTAACTACCATGACAATATTTCCCACTTGATGGTCGTGGCAAATATATAAATTTATTTATTAATCTATACTAATATAGTCAGCCTACAATGTATGAATCGTTGAATGGAATTGTCGTACTAGCGTAGTTTGTGTTTTTTCTTTTCCTCCTTTAATTAGGAAAAAAAGACTTTAGCGGTAGGAGGTATATTTGAACTCGTAACCCGTACCATATTCAGACTAATCTTCGTCCATACTGGACCGGTTAAGGAGCTGCTGGTCAGATTAATTTTTTCATACCAGAAGAAGTTCGAAATCTCGACATCTCTTAAGGGAGGAGAATGCACCGTCACCAATTAAATTGGTTTGTAGAATTGAAGAGTTGTCAAAGAGTCTACATAGTGGCAAGTAAGTGCATCAATTTATTTATTTTGAATTAATTAACTTGTTAATGACTAAGTAGTTGATTGCTACTTGAATGAAGTGTTATCTTTTGGTCCACCATTAAGGATTTAGTGGCGGTCGGCGAAAATCACTGACCCTTCAATCAAGCCCGTCACGGCGGCCGTCGAGTCAACCAAAAATTGTAATTTAATGAATTGCTTCACTCCTTGGTTAAGTACAAAAAAACAGAGAATTGAAGAACACAAATTCTTTGAACTGAAAAGCTTCAATAATTCATATCGCTGCTTCAATGGTTTGGATATGGACAACCGTAGCAGTAGCCATAGCTGTCTATCTTCTCCTCCGTGAGCTGCTAAACATCAAGAAAAAACTCCCTCCTGGCCCAAAGGGTATTCCCATTTTGGGACATCTTCATTTGCTGGGCAAAACTCCCCACCAAGATCTTCATAAGCTAGCCAAGAAACACGGTCCCATTATGTATATGCGTTGGGGTTTCGTTCCTGCGATCATTGTTTCTTCCCCGGAGATAGCCGAAGTGGCGCTCAAGACCTGCGATCATGTCTTCGCCGACAGGCCGTACCATGAGGCGTCCATGTATATCGCGTACGGCCAGAGGAACTTCATCTTCTCAAAGTATGGTTCTTATTGGCGCAACGTTCGGAAGATGTGCACTTTGCAGCTCCTGAGTAGTCACAAGATCAACTCCATGCAATCCATGAGGATGCGAGAGGTTTCCCTCTTGATTGGGTCTCTGAAACGCGCCGCCGCTCACGGCGGCGCTGCTGTTGATCTCAGCGCCATGGTTTCGTCCTTAAGCGCGGACATGAGCTTCCTGATGGTGGTGGGGAAGAAGTACTTGTCCTCCGAGGAAATTGTAGCAGTGGTTCGGGAAGTTGTTCATTTGGCAGCCATGCCAAATCTTGGAGACTACATCCCTTACCTGGGAATTCTTGATTTCCAGGGCCTGACTCGCCGGATGAAGGCGGTTGCCAAGGTGTTTGATGGGTTTCTTGAGAAAATCATCGAAGAACATGTCCAGTCCAAAGCCCAGAAGGAAACCAAAGACTTTGTTGACACCATGCTGGAAATTATGCAGTCTGGAGAAACAGACTTCGAGTTTGATCGTCGCCATGTCAAAGCAATCATGTTGGTAAAGAATCGCCATTTTTTATTTTTCACTGAATGAACTCAACCATTTTGACTAGATTATATTAATCCTGTGTTTTATTACCATCTTGAAGGACATGATTTCGGCTTCCATGGACACATCTGCAACATCAGTAGAGTGGATAATGACAGAGCTTATACGCCATCCCCAGGCAATGAAAAAGCTACAGAAAGAGGTGGAAGAAGAAGTAGGCATGGAAAGAATGGTGGAAGAATCAGACCTGGAGAAGCTCAAGTACTTAGACATGGTTGTCAAGGAAGGCATGAGGCTTCACCCTGCAGTCCCATTACTGCACCATCAATCCATGGAAGATTGCCAAGTAAAGGGCTACCATATCCCCAAGGGATCAAGGGTTGTCATCAACGTTTTAGCTCTTCAAAAGGATCCCATTGCCTGGCCCGAACCCGAAAAGTTCATCCCAGAAAGATTTGCAGGGAATAGTGTAGACCTCCGGGGGCGTGATTTTGAGCTCTTGCCTTTCGGATCTGGGAGAAGAAGTTGTCCCGGGGTACAGTTGGGGATTATTGTGGTTAGTTTAGTTGTGGCTCAATTGGTGCACTGCTTCAATTGGGAACTTCCGAATGGGATGCATCCAAATGAACTTGACATGAGTGAGCTCTTTGGTTTAGCCACGGGCAGAGCTAAGCCTTTGATGGCTGTTCCAACTTATAGACTTCACAATTGATTTAAATCTTATGCTTTTAAGAGAAGTTATTTTGTCATATATATGACTCATATCTATAGCTAATCCGGCTATATTTAAAGTGGGTGGTCCAAATTATTTATTAAATCTAAATTTGAATTGCGTTGTTGGAGTGAGATTTGTATGTCATAACCCATAACTTTTTTAATCATTATTATAGGTTAAAAAGTCCAAGATATACCCTTTAACATGTATCCAAACTGAAGGGTTAGAAGTAACTTTTGACATCTTAATATTATTTGATCACAAATGTCTTTTGATCAATTTATATTATTATTATTATTATTTTTATTTTTTTTATAGGTGATAGGACCGGGTCATTGCCCATAAAGGATTGGAGGAGGATTGTGAATTTAGACCAAAGGAGGTGATCCAATAAGGCAAAGGAAGGTGGGCTTTTTTTCTTTTTTAATTTTTTTTTTTTAGAAATGGACTCAAAATGTATGGAATAAAAGTTGAGAAAATACCAAGAAATAAAGGAGTGGTTTGACAGGCCTGCTAGTCCAGTAGTCCTTGATATTTTGAGTATTTAATTGATTTTTTAAAATCAGTTTAGAGACTTATCATGTGATGTAATATGATGTGATCTGTTTTTAGCCTATCTTTACACCACTGCGGATAGCCTTAGTTGTTAATTATAAATTTAAGGAAAATAAAGACTTATCATGTGATGTAATATGATGTGATCAGTTTTTAGGCTATCTTTACACCGCTGCGGATAGCCTTAGTTGTTAATTATAAATTTAAGGAAAATAACATATGTATGTATTCTCATAAAATATAACTCTCACTAAATGTATAAAATTTATTAGGTAAGAATAAGTAAATGAATAAAAACAGTAATTTATTTTATTGTTTAAATCAATTAAAGGATATATAACATCTTATGAAAAAAAGTAAAAAATGAGAATAGATGTAATATACCCTAAATTTAGTTTTCATTGGTTATCATGTGTGGGGGGTTTTTAGTTGTTAGTTATTTTTTTAATATTCCTATGTAATATGCATTGAATCATTGGTCACAACTCACAAAGTCACTTTACATTCACATAGAATAAAATATTACTCCGTATCATAGTTTGTATAAAAAGCAGAGAGGAACTGAGGATGTTTCATTTTAAATCTAATCAAACGCCAACTACTAAATTACAGATCAGAGCCTGTCGCGTCGCAATGAACAAGAAGATAAGGTTACCCATATATCCGCACTTTTGATGACGATGCCCATTCGATTATTATAACAACAACAACCATAAAGGTCCGTAGTTTTTTTTTTTTTTTTTTTAAATTACAAGGTGGTTCGAGTCTTTCGGGTCTTTCTCTGTCTGTTTAACGAACATGATCATCCGATTAATTCCCATTCACTCCAAGAAACACGGGAGCAGACCCAAAGAGAATCATCACTTATGAAAATTAAACTCGAATTATTCTAAAATTCTCCCCACAAAAAGAGTTCATTTGCCACTTGAACTACCCTGTTGAATTTGTGTGTTTGTTTTAATTCTTCTTCCCAGAACTTATCCTATATTGGCTGTTTGGTTAAGCAATGCCAGTCCATTGCAATGGACATTGGGGATGTTGTTATCCGCCATGTTCGAAGGTCAGTGAATCAGATAGCTCATGTGTTTGCACGGGCGATTGTTTCTGAGTCTTTCTTTGGTGTTTGGGACTCTATTCCGTCGAGATGTATCTCGAATTTGATGATGAATTAATATAATGCTTTACGTTGGTTATCAAAAAAAAAAAACAGCTTTTAAAGGGTAATCGAATATTGTAATGGTAAAAATTAGGGGCTAAAACGATTATTAAGAGATAATTGAGTGATTAAAGTACAATTTCTCCAAAGTTTAAAACCACCATTTTTTACTTTATTCTTCAACAACCTTCAACCGATTAAAGTACAATTTCTCCAAAGTTTAAAACCACCATTTTTTACTTTATTCTTCAACAACCTTCAACCAGTTGTACTTACCCCAAAGGCCCCTCACCCGACAAAGCATGTGGGAGGATGTAGCACAAAGAATTTGCCCACTTTGAACATAATTTCCACACTGTTGCCACCGAGTTTAATTTTGAACCTTAGTCTCTTATCCCAAATACTGCTCACTAAACCATTGTACTAATCGGATGGATGGAGGACATTAATCTATACTTTTTACCTAAAACATGTTCACGTTCAACCCTGACATATATATATATATATATATATATATATATATATATATAGTGGAGTGTTAAGGTAAAACATCAGTTGTGAAATGAAATTGTAGTAGAGTTAAAATGATATTTTAGTGTTGCTAAAATGATAGAAACTAGTGTGTGTAGAAAATAAAATTAAAAAATGGAGTTCATACAACGTATAATGTCAAATGAAACTGCATGTAGTATAATTAAAATGATACTTCAGTAGTGTTGCTATAATGAAACTAGTATGTGTGGAAAATATATAAAACTAAAAACCAAATCATGTGCAATAACATATATTGTTAAATGAACGTGAAGTGTAATTAAAATTATATATAATTAAACTAATGTGAGTGAAAAAAATTAAAAATATAGAATTCATTCAATAATGTATATTATCAAATAAAATTGTGATAGAATTAAAATAATACTTTAGTATTGCTATAATGAAATTAGTGTGCATGAAAAATAAAATTAAAAAATATAACAATATTGTCAAATGAAATTGAAGTGTAATTAAAATGATACGAAGCCATTTTACTTTATGGTCTTATTGCATTATATTCTACGTGGACCATGGTCACAGTAAAATTTGCCATACTTTATACTTTAGATAAAAAGTGATGCTAGCGGTAACAAGACGTTTACACGTTGCTTGATTAATTTTTTTTTTTCTTAAAAAATTAAGTTTTATTAAATTTGATCATTTTTATCACATTTTTACATAGAGTTTCAACTATTAATTTTGCCATATTTAATATACAAGTATATTTTAATTATATTTTATCGAACAAATCTCTAGCCACCACTTTTTAGAAAAAATATAAATTTTCTCTGATCAACCGGAATGCATGTGCCCCTTCTGTTTTCGTCTAAAGAAGACGATAAGATCACCAGTGACATTTAATTTTGTGATATGTCACATCACAATTGTCCATTGTAATAACATCAAAACAATCTTGTCGTGCCGTCCACAAGTTTCCGTTTCCCAAACGCAATTCCATGTCGGGACAAACAATTATTACCTTAGAGAAGTCCGCCATAAATGTCATTGTATGTATGATAAGAGAGCCAATCCATCCATAAAGGATAAATGCTAGTAGCTTTATATATACGTTTGGTTTGCCTTGTATATATATATGCATGCATTCTGCATTCATTTTCACGTACTTGAGAACACTGCACTAAAACCATGATGAACACCGCATGGATTTTGGCAGCCATTGCCGTGATTGCCGCGGTTTCTTTTTTCAGTGGATTCCTGAAGAACAGAAGTAAAAGGTTGCCGCCTGGTCCCAAAGGGCTGCCGATATTGGGACACCTCCATTTGATCGGGAAAAATCCCCATCAAGATTTGCATGAACTGGCCAAAACCCACGGTCCGATTATGCATTTAAGGTTTGGGTTTGTCGACAACATCATCGTTTCATCAGCTGAAGCCGCCGAGCAATTCCTGAAGACGCATGATCTTGTGTTCGCCACCAGGCCGCCGCACCAGGCGGCCAAGTACATGTCGTATAACCAGAAGAATTTGTCGTTTGGCGAGTACGGTCCGTACTGGCGCAACATGCGAAAGCTATGTACCTTAGAGCTCCTCAGCAATCACAAGATCAATTCGTTTCAGTCCATGAGAAGGGAAGAGGTGTGCCTTCTGGTAGAGTCACTGAAGCAGGCGTCTAGAAATGGCGGCGCCGTTGATTTGAGTGCCAAAGTTGCTTCCATGAGTGCCGAGATGAGCTGTCGGATGGTGTTTGGGAAGAAGTACGAGGATAAAGACATCGGCGACAAGGGTTTCAAGGCTGTGATTCATGAAGCTATGAGTTTGGCGGCTCTCCCTAACCTTGGCGATTACTTCCCGTATCTTGGTAAGCTCGATTTGCAGGGATTAACTCGACGGATGAAGGCCGTTAGCAAGTTGTTCGATGAATTCTTTGAGAGGATCATTGATGAACATGAACAACGTGCTACAAACAATGGTAGCACTCAAATGACTAGGGATTTTGTTGATACTATGTTGGACATCATGAAATCTGGGGAGAGTACGATTCAATTTACTCGTGAACATGTCAAAGCTATTATGCTGGTAATTATACAATTTTTTTTTTTTTGAACAATTCACATATATACATATCTAGCTCATGCATATGCATGTTTTTAGTTTTAATAAAATCTTGGACATTGTAGGATATGCTTGCAGGTTCGATGGACACGTCTGCAACAGTAGTAGAATGGATAATGTCTGAACTCTTTAGACACCCTGAAATAATGAAAACACTGAAGGAAGAATTAGAGAGACAAGTAGGACTTGATAGGATGGTGGAAGAGGAGGATTTAGAGCACTTGGAATACTTAGAAATGGTCATAAAGGAATCATTCAGGATTCATCCCGTGGCGCCATTACTTCTCCCTCATGCAGCCATGGAAGATTGTGTAGTTAATGGTTTTCACATACCCAAAAGAGCAAGAATTATTGTGAACATTTGGGCAATTGGACATGATCCAAATGTGTGGAGTGATCCTAAAAAGTTTATACCAAATAGGTTTAGTGGAACTAATATTGAGTATAGAGGTCGAGATTTCGAACTCATTCCATTTGGGTCAGGGAGGAGAAGTTGCCCTGGGTTACAACTTGGAATAACAGTGGTCCGACTACTGGTGGCGCAATTGGTGCATTGCTTTGATTGGGATCTTCCAAATGGTATGTCACCTAAAGAGTTGGACATGACAGAAGAGTTTGGCCTTGTAGTGACTCGAGCCAAACATTTAATGGCTATTCCTACCTATCGATTACGTCTTTAAAAGGCCATGACATGCCAATGTATTTTTATTTTCATCATCAAGTAAAAGTAGTGTAAAACCGAATAAAGAAATTTCTTTCTTCAAATAGCAAAATTTCTCATAAGATTAACTATCCTTTCTTTGCCAAAGACCTTGTGGTCAAGCGACATAAAGTGACTATTCTAAATGGGAGGTTATGGATTTGAGCCTCAGTGGAAGGCGATATTAACTCGTTGGGCTTCAGTAGATTGAGAAAGTATATTTGATGTAACAGGTGTTGGTCCCGGTAGGGTCGAAAGAGAGTCTAGAGGGTGGGAGGGGGGGGGGTGAATAGACTCTAATCGAATTTTCAAAGTGACTCCTTTCGGAGTGATGCACAGCGGAATAAGATGTTTCGTTTTTAAGCTATCTTTGCACAGTTTAGCTATAAACTCTTAATGCTTGGTCAATGGGATATGCAATGCACGAAAGATAAAGAGCAGTATTTAAAGAGATATGGAGAGAGAGATTTTTATAGTGGTTCAGTTGTTAACGAAGCCTACTCCACTCTTCTTTCACAACTTGTGAAAGGGTTTGCACTATCACTCCTAGTACAAACTACTTCAAGTTAGCTTCCTTGATCACTAAGCTGGACAGCTACTTGGTTAGTTTTTCAACTCCACGAGTTTACTCCACCTCTATCAACTTTTTCCTCAGAGTTGAGTGTTGGAAAGATGATGTCTTGTTTCTCCAACAGGTTGAAGCCTTGAATTGTCTTGATGTTGTCTGGATAAATCTTCACGTGAGAAAAGATGCAAGACTTCTTCAAGTTTGTGAAGTATAGATGAAAGATAAGCCTTTTTGAAAACTTCACAAACACAACACATTGGTTATGAAAAGCTTTAGAGATGAGAATGTTTGAAGAGCTTTTCTTAGGATAGCAACAGTTGAACAACCAACAACTTCTTCAATGGTGAAGAGAGGTATTTATAGGTGAGAAAAAATTCATTCGTTGGAGGGAGATGAAGATTTCAAACCTATTAACTAGCATGTATTAACCAGTGGGCATAGAGCATTTAATATGGTTATACTGTGTAAAGCATTATGACTTTTGTCCTTGTTATCTGACAAGATGGTACAAGTCTTTTAATGCTCCTTGGCTTTTGTGAAAATCATTCCTAGGACGCCTTTTGTCCGAATGATTGCCCATCTGTGAGTCATAGACCACATTCTTATTGCTTCACTTAATGAAGGGTGTCTTTACAAGTCTGACTTAAACTTGTTTCCTTAGAGAAGTTCTTCGAAAGATTGATCTTGTCTTTCGACCTTTCTCTTAGACGAGAGGTCCTTTTCATTGTGCGATGTTTATCCGAGAGTTGAACCTTTCATCTTTCGTCTGCAACAATCTTTCGTCTGTCTCGTTGTCTCCATGTCTTCAAGTAGACCTATCATGCTAGCCTCAACTAAGATTCGTACACTACATAGTGTGAATCATACGTTGAGTTATAGTGACCTTCGTTTGTAACGAAAGTTCTAAATAAAAAATAGGAGTCTACAGTCCTAGTGAGTTTGGTATCATCAAAGTCTAATTACACTTGTTCCTAACAACATGGTCAATAGTATTTTAAAAAAAATCCTTCCAACCGAAGGTCAAACTATATATATATATATTTTTTGAAGGCCAACAAAGATAGTATATTAACTCAAAATATGGTCCAAATACAACGGAGGAGCACCTCTCCAGATAGAGGCAAATGCACTTTCAACCTTCGCTAAAGAATGAACAGCCCGATTGGCATCCTTACTAATAAAACTCACAAAACAACCCAAAATAGAACGAACTAAACGAGTACAAGACTGAACCACATGACCAATATAAGGCCTCACAAAACATCATGACATATGTAAACATAGAGTTTGGCAGTCCGAATAGACAATGAAGGTCAAACTATATATTTTTGTGGTAAATAATACTTTCTTAGACGCAACAAATAAAAGAAGAGAAATATTACTTATTCCTATAATAAAAAAAAAAATATCATATATACAAAATTTCTTATAACACGTTAAAACAAATCAATACACTGCATAAATTACCGGAAGGGTACAGATATTTATACGGAATAAGCAATTACCTGGCCTATACGGACATGGGGAGCGGAATCTGCCCACGCCCCAATGCCCCATTTATTATAATTTACACCCCTCAACTAATTGTTGTAGATCTGAAGAATGCAACCACCGACAAGCATTTATTTATAGAAATAGAAATACAATTTTTATTTTCTTTCTTTCTTTCTTTGGGTTAACAAATTAACAACGTAACAAAGTCACTAATGCTCAAAAACACTTAATATAAAGTAATTTAAACACGTAATTGATATTTAGGAACTCCCATTAAATTCTCAGCTCGACTGATAACAACACCAAAGTGCTCAGTCATGTCCAAGTCTTCTGGTAAAATTCCATTTGGAAGATCCCAATCAAAGCAATGTATTAATTGTGCCACCACCAATCGAACTGTTGTTATTCCGAGTTGCATACCAGGACAATTTCTCCTCCCTGATCCAAATGGGAGATACTCAAAATGCTTGCCTCTATAATCAACATTACTTCCTTTGAATCTTTCTGGGATGAACTTCTCAGGATCGGTCCACACATTTGGGTCACGCCCAATTGCCCAAGCATTCACAATGATTCTTGATTTCTTAGGTATATGAAAGCCATCAACTATGCAATCTTCTATGGATGCATGAGGAATTAGTAACGGCACAACCGGATGCAACCGTAAGGACTCTTTTATAACCAGTTCTAAGTATTCAAAGTGCTCCAAATCCTCCTCCTCCACTATCCTATCTAACCCTACTTGTCTCTCTATCTCCTTCTTCAGCTTCTTCAATATTTCTGGGTGTCTGAAAAGTTCAGACATTGTCCAATCTATTACTGTTGATGATGTGTCCATTGAAGTTACAAGCAAATCCTACAAAGATATAGAAATTACTATATGAAAGTGTGTTTAGATCCAGAGAGTATATGTAAATTGTTGACTTACCACCATCATAGACTTAACATGTTCACGAGTGAACTCAAACAAAGTTTCTCCAGATCTTCTGATTTCTAGCATTATATCAACAAAATCCTTTGTAGTTTGAGTGTTATTACCTCCCTTTTTGGCATTTTGTTCATGCTCATCAATGATCCTCTCAAAGAATTGATCAAAGAGCTTAGCAACAGCCTTCATCCGTCTTGTCAATCCCTGAATATCAAGCTTACCCAGATAAGGAAAATAATCCCCAAGATTAGGTAGACCCGTGATATGAACTGATTCTTGAATCACAGCCTTAAACCCCATCTCACCAATGTCCTTATCCTCGTACTTCCTCCCAAACACCATCCGACAGCTCATGTCTGCACTCATGGAAGAAACCTTGGAACTCAAATCAACAGCCTCTCCTGTCCGAGCCGCTTGCTTCAACGATTCTATGAGAAGACACAACTCCTCTCTTCTCATGGATTGAAACGAATTGATCTTGGCATTGCTTAGGAGCTCCAAAGTGCACAGCTTTCGCATGTTTCGCCAGAACGGACCGTATTCGCCAAACACCATATCCTTCTGCCCATATGACATGTACTTTGCTGCCTCTGAAGGTGGCCGGGATGCGAAATTGAGATCATGTGTCTTGAGAAACAGTTCGGCGGCTTGGGGAGACGAGACGATGATGTTGTCGACGAACCCGAACCGCAAATGCATGATGGGACCATGGATTTTGGCGAGTTTTTGCAGATCTTGATGGGGGGTTTTCCCCACCAAATGGAGGTGTCCCAAGACGGGAAGCCTTCTGGGACCGGGCGGCAGCCTCTTCCTTCTGCTCTTTAGAAAACTGTTGCAGATAGAAATGGCTGCAAGCACTGCAAAGGCTGCCCAAATCCATGTCGTCTTCATCATGGTTTTTGGCTGTTTCTTGGTAGAGATGAGGACTATGTAACTTTATTTGATGGTCAATAATTCAATATATGGTTATTAATGTAGTTGCTATTGTATTATTGAATAATAATACCAAACCAATGTGTGGTTATATAAAAATATGCCCTTTCGTGTTGTCACAATCACACTTTAAAAGCCAAGTAAAACCTATAATCATTACTTGAATTTATGCATTGGGTAAACCCTAACTAATTAACAAAGAAGCTAGACTAGTTTAGGTTATTCAAGCTGACCGACTCAAACTAAGAAGATAATAGATCACTTTTACTGATAGTAGAACTTAAAACTTTGTGGTTATCAAACCAAACGTCTAACCCAACATGGTTAGGGTTGTCTTCTCCAGCATCTTCTTTACACATACGAAGCCAAACTTAAAACTTTATGATTACCATAAATTAACTCAGTCGTAAACTGGTGGGATCCCCAATGTTTTAATTTGATTTTTGGACCTGAATTAAAAAAAAAAAAAAAAAAAAAAAAGACATTTATTGCAAGTTAATCCTACGCAACTGTTAATTTTTCTATAAATATGATTTAAAATAATTAAAAAAAATCTTCAATCTTTATTGATAACACCTTGAGTGACATAGAATAAAAAATAAAAAATAAAAAAGTGAAGACATGTGTATCACGTCCTACCTTTTAATCAGATCCATTACAAGAATCTCTATATTGTCAACTTTAATGTTTTTAAAACTCCCTTCTTCAAATTATATGATTAATTAAGTTGTTGCCTTCAAAAATATTTTTTTTTTTAAAAATCCCTTCTCCAAATTATATAATGTTTCTCGATCTCCCATACAGTTGGCACATTATTATATTTTTATAATCCGCGTGAATCATGACTTAGCCTAGTGATTGTGGTCAATCATTGACCAAAAGGTGGTCATCAACTATTCTAATAACTCAATAATTAAATTTTGTTTACTTTTTAAAATCTTCATTACGATTTATTTTCATTATTTTATAATTGAAAAATGTGCACCTATTAAACTCAATTATTATATTATAGACTAATATTTAACATGTGTATAATTTACCTATAATTCATAATATAATATGTTATTGTATTACGTGTATATAATATAAATCAAGATTTACAATTGCGCAAGATATATAAATTTTGATTTACCATATAATTTATAGGTAAACTCGACTCAGCTTGCAATTGAATTGTATGGTTTACTGTTCAGTTCAAAAATCATCTCTTGCAAAATTTTTTTGTATTTTCTCTCCATATTCTTTCTCTTCCATATTATTTTTGTCCCTCCAATTTATTTTTTTTTTTTTCAAAATCTCCTATTGGGATGCTCCAAGATTTGTTATCCTTATCATTAATTACGACAGTCTGTCTGTAAGTTAGATTCTTGCGCCTTCCTTCTGGCTTCTTCAACAATAATTGATAGCTATAAACTTTGAATGACTCCCACAACCATTAGTAATAACATAAATTTAAAGAATGTACGTAAAGCTTTTTTTCTTTTTCTTTTTTATTTTTTGTTACCAGAGAAATCACAATTATTATTTAGATACGTGTATTAGGTAACTTCACTCTATATATTAGTTCACAAATTATACAGAAGAGTTGAATCGCACAAAAATATGTTATGTGACATGTTGATGGAGAGAATGTCGGCAAAAATCATACTCATACTTTTTTTTTTGTACGATAATCATGTTGCACTCACTCGGCTAACCTTTTGGACTACGTTAAGATTTATTATTCTTTTTTTTTTTGTGTTAAATAAAGGAATAATTCTGTAATTTCAATATCAGTATCTCTTTACTCCTAAACTTGCAAAGTGCAAAATTCTCTTTCTTTTACAAATTACTCCAAGACTTAGCTTACGAATCAAATTTTATTCGCAAGTTTGGGAGTAATTCGTAAAAGAAAGAGAATTTTGCACTTCACGGTCTAGGATTAAAGAGATGCCAATATTGAAATTACTGAATCATCCCTCTATTTAACACCAAATGGACGGAATAACAAACGAACGACTAAATTGAGCAAAAACATAAAAGTCTGGAACTACATTAGGCCACCAAAATTATTTAGAACAAAATTGAGAAAAATTGTTATATAGTCGAGAACCATTGTGGGTATTAACTTTTTCCTTACGTGATTGTTTATACTTTATACCTTTAATTTGTAATTAATGTTTTAATTGTTAGCAGCTTTTGTTTACTAAGCATTAGCACTAGGTTTGGGTGGTGTAGTGATATTGTGGGTATTAACTTTTTCCTTACGTGATTGTTTATACTTTATACCTTTAATTTGTAATTAATGTTTTAATTATTAGTAGCTTTTGTTTACTAAGCATTAGCACTAGGTTTGGGTGGTGTAGTTGGTTATCACGTTAGTCTTACACACTAGAGGTCCTTGGTTCGAACTTGGTCTCAGACAGTATTTTAACATATTTCCCCTATTTATCATTATTATATTTGAATAACTAAGCCACGGATATTTTATTACAAGAGCTATACATGCAAGTAATTAAATTTATTGCTAAACAAGTATATATATTGATTTCAAACATAGGGATGTTTATGTAGGATCCGTATAAGCAGGACTCCTGCACATATACAGATTTATAAAACTCCACAATGATAATAAGACCAAATAGGAATGGCCTAAAAACTGTATTCAAATGGTGTATACACCAACCATGTACATACCCATGTTCCTTGACTAATTACCATGAGTTTGAGATACACTCCCAACACTTATTTATTTATCGAAAAAGAGTTTCTTGCTGATTTAATTTATTTCAAGTAAACAAACATAAAAGAGATCAAACATTTAATCGATAGGTAGGAACAGCTATTAAATTCTTAGCTCGTCTCACCACAGCACCTAGTTCCTCGGTCATGTCTAAATCATCAGGTAACATCCCATTTGGAAGATCCCAATCAAAGCAATGAACTAGTTGTGCCACCACTAGTCGAACCACTGTTACACCGAGCTGCAAACCAGGACAACTTCTCCTCCCTGACCCAAATGGGATTAACTCAAAATCACGACCTCTATAGTCAATATGACTTCCCATAAACCTTTCTGGCATGAACTTCTCTGGATCACTCCATACTTTTGGATCACGCCCAATTGCCCAAAAATTTACCAAAATTCTTGCCTTTTTGGGTATGTGAAAGCCATCAATTACACAATCTTCAATCGCTACATGAGGGAGAAGTAGTGGTGCCACCGGATGAATCCTTAATGATTCTTTTATGACCATTACTAAGTATTCCAAGCTCTCCAGGTCCTCCTCTTCCACCATCCTATCAGATCCTACATGTCTCTCGATTTCTTTCTTGACTTTCTCCATAACTTTTGGATGTCTAAAAAGTTCAGACATTGTCCAATCTATTACAGAAGATGATGTGTCCATTGAAGTTACAAGCATATCCTGCCATGTCCAAAATCATCCCAAATAGTTCAAGATGTGACACTAGATGATGAATAGTTTAACAAATTAAATTGTATAATTACATACCAGCATAGTAGACTTGACATGCTCGCGAGTAAATTGAAAAGGAGTTTCTCCAGATTTCATAATCTCCAGCATGGTATCAACAAAATCCTTGGTGGGTTTTATGTTACCTTTGTTTTCAGCTTGTTCTTCGTGTTCATCGATGATTCTCTCAAAGAACTCATCACAGAGCGTGGCAACGGCCTTCATCCTTCGAGTCAACCCCCGAAAATCAAGCTTACTAAGATATGGAAAATAATCCCCAAGATTAGGGACAGCAGCCAAATACTGAATCTCATCTATCACAGCCTTAAACCCCTTCTCGCCGATGTCCTTATCCTCGTACCTATTCCCAAACACCATCCGACAACTCATGTTCGCACTCATGGAAGAAACCTCGGAGCTCAAATCAACAGCCCGAGCCGCCTGCTTCAATGATTCTACGAGAAGACACAACTCTTCTCTTCTCATGGATTTAAAAGAAGCGATCTTGAGATTGCTGAGGAGCTCCAAAGTGCAGAGCTTTCGCATGTTGCGCCAATACGGACCGTATTCGCTCCACGCCAAATCCTTCTGGTCGTAGGAGATGTGCTTCACTGCTTCTTGAGGTGGCCGGGAGGCGAAGTTGAGGTCGTGTGTCTTGAGAAACTGTTCGGCTGCTTGAGGCGACGATACGATGATGTTGTCGACAAACCCGAAGCGTAAGTACATAATAGGACCGTAGGTTTTGGACAGCTTCTGGAAATCTCGGTGGGGATCTTTCCCAATCAAATGGAGGTGTCCCAATATCGGCAGCGCTTTGGGACCGGGCGGCAACCTTTTACTCTTGTTCTTCACAAATCCTTTGAACACAGAAACCGCTGCGAACACTACAGCAACGGCTATCCAAAACCATGATGTATTCATGGTTGAGATCAGATCAGAAGATGTTTTGTTGTAGATCGATATTGGGAAGATCGAGTACAGTACAGTTTAGTCTGTGAATTTGTTCTGATCGAGACCAAGAACATAAATAGCTACCACTTTTATAATATGTGACACAGGATTTGGATTATTTTATTATGAATTACCAAGATTGGATTTTACAAATATTTTCATATTAAAATTTCCTTACAGACAATAAATCGTTGAAAAAATAATTAAACATTAAAATCTAGATGACATATTGTCTTACGATACCAGTTCAGTTTACAATGAGAAAACTTTTGTTCACAGTTGTCAAAAGGAACTTGTAGATCTGATCGGCTTTAACATGATGGGATGCTTTGCTAAGTCTAATATTTATTGGACTGAACTATTTGGGTTAGACCAATTATCAATGTTGTTGAATAATGTCCATTTAGTGGGGAGGAAAATCCATGCCCATCTACCTTATCTTCAACAGAGTAGAGTGGTTTGAGAAGATAAGGTATTTGCTGTTCTAATATTCTAGAACGGCAACTAGCAAAACCCAAATCAAATACTACGTATATGCTTGTCGTGTTGGAAAGAAAAAACAAAAACTTTATGCAATTCTAATTCAAGAATACACTTTGAGTAAAATTCACATTTTGATCC